CTCTCTTTATCTCTGTCAATTTTTCTCTCTTTTCTTCTTCTGTGCTTTGAAGTCTGGGGTAGAGTTCCAATCCGTCCATCTCCTCTTTCCATATTCTGCTCTTGCCATAAAGTGAATGTTTTGAAGCACGTGGAGAGCCCTTTTCACTCCATGCCATATATAATGAGAATTTATCCTTAACATACCTGAGATTTGGAGATCCATGTGGTCCATGTCAGCACTGCATTCACCCACTTACTCCTTCCCATGATTTTGTTTTACATTTTTACCAGTACTATTAAATCACAACCTCTCGACATATTTTCCATCTACCTTATTAAGGCTGTACTTTACTAATCTTTGTTGTATATCCTTCCCTAATGTATTGCATTTTATACAATTAGCCCTTAAATTTGTCCATCCATCTATAATAGTGTGGTCCACATAACATCACAGGTTGCATGAGGCCCTTTCTTGCAGACCTCTGACCACAGTTGACTGGCCTGGCCTGCTCATCATAATCACTTCACTCTGACTACATCTTTTGAACACCCACAGGATGGCATCTGCATTGGCAAATCTCAGTACTTCTCTCAAAAGTGGTTTATATTCCATCACATTGAGACTGGAGAACTGTCAGAAAACCTAACACTGCAGCTAAGCAGGCTTTAAGCCAGAAATCTCCCCATTTTGTAAATTAAGCATTGTCAGATGCATTGGGGATGGGGAAAGGGGGCTTAGACTGCTTTGATATTTATCCCCATTTATTTGCTGACAGATGCCTATCAATGCCTCAAATGCACTAACCTTAGCCCATCAGTTGCGGGTCTACACAGCTGAAGCTGCCAATTTCTCAGATATGATGGATGTCATCTATGTGTCTCAGATGATTGAAAAATTCACTGGTTACGTAGACCAGATCAAACAGGTAAGTGCATTATATTTGGACTTGATTTCCATTTGTTCATTTCCCCACATTTATGATGGTGAGGAAAGAAAAGGTCTATTTAGCAACATTTCATTTGTTGCCAAATTCGCTCAACATACAGAAAGTTCTAAAGTAGAGATGGAGAGTCTATGGCCACCATCTGATCTTAGAATCTAACTTTCCCTAACAAGATGGCCTAACAAGCAGATCTTTGATCTGGAGTGAAATGCTCAATGATTTCTTATATCCCACATTGTTTGCTTTCGCCCAGCTGGCCGACGTCATTGTGGAGATGGCAAGTAACATGATGCTGGTGGATGACCATGTTCTGTGGATGGCCCAGATTGAAGACAAAGCTTGTACCAGCATAGTGCATTCCTTGGAGAAGATTGCGACTTATGCTGTCAGCACCAACTCTCAGCATATGGCTGTGGTAAGGATCCAAGCTCTCCTAGTGGGTGAGCTGGGAGGGACGGCATAGTAAAAGGCTAAGCTTGAACATTAGGTGTGGTGTACTGCCAAAAAGGCAAATTACAGATACATGGTTTGGGGTGGGAGTGAAGAGCAAGGAACTAGGAATCCAGAATGGGAAAAAAAGCCACTGGTGAAATAGGAGAATTTTTATATTGTGCGAAGATTTTGATTTGGCTGAGACTGAGATATACAAGGGCCCGAAGATATTCTTGGAAAGCTGTTGAGATTCAAGCATCCTGACATGTCTTCCTTGCTGATGATTATCTCCTCTCCCTCTAAGTTCCTTGTCCTGTTCCTCAATGTTCCTATTTCTTTAAACTTTCCATAGTACCTCCGAGCACAACTACGATGTAAAAGCTATTAGGAGCCGAGGTGGCGCAGTGGTTAGGGTGCAGTACTGCAGGCCACTTCAGCTGACTGTTATCTGCAGTTCAGCGGTTCAAATCTCACCAGC